GGTCTTGTAGCCCATTCCAGCCTTGTGTAGGTCCACAATCTTGTCCCTGACATCCTTGGAAAGCTCTTTGGTCTTGGCCATGGTGAAGAGTTTGGAATCTGGATTGATTGCTTCTGTGGACAGGTCTCTTTTATACAGGTAACGAGCTGAGAGGGCTCCCAATGTCAGTTCATTACCTGTATAAAATACACCTGGGAGCCAGAGATCTTGTTGACTGATAAGGGATCAAATACTTATTTCATTCATGAAAATGCAAATTACTTTATAACTTTTTTTTTTGTAATGTATTTTTCTGTATTTATTTGTTATTGTTGTGTCTCTCACTGTTCAAATAAACCTACCATTGAAATTGTAGACTGATCATTTCTTTGTTAGTGGGCAAACTTACAAAATCAGCTGGGGTTCAAATAATTTTTTCCCTGAAAAATTCACACTATAACAGTCATTCATTTTAAAGCCTTTTTATATAGACGAGCAATTAATTGCTTAGTGTAAAAAGTGTTAATAAAGATAGCAATGTTATAGTAACTTAAATAGTTTACACAACTGTAGAAGTGAAAAAAACAACAACAACTAAATAACCAATATTTCCACACAAACATGTAACCACTCAAATGTGCACGTGTGCTACTGAGTATGCATAGACTGTAATACCCAAGAAAAAAATCCCAGATAAGAAAACACCGATGAAAGCCAGGATCTTCATGAAAACTGCACTAGTGGGTTTTAATAAGAAATTAGTTTTTAAGAGTGGTTGGTGAATGAGCTCCATTGTGTTTGGCTTTGAAACTAGCTTCTGGTTACTGTCTGTGTTTTGCTGACAGCAACTGAATATGTTAAACAAATCAGGGACAACCAGAGGTAGAGGGAAGCAGATGTGATGGTGAGCGGTGTGGATTAAACTGTTTTGTTTTTAGTTTGCATGTTTCAAACAACAGTTATTCAAAATACTGTCTGTATGTGTTTGTGTGTGCAGATTCAGCACTGTTTAGACAGAAACAACCAGAGACAGTCTGACACAGTGGAACTTCAGCAAGTGTTTAGAACTAAACAATCTGAAAAGGTAAGAAAATAAGTACAGTGCCTTGCGAAAGTATTCGGCCCCCTTGAACTTTGCGACCTTTTGCCACATGTCAGGCTTCAAACATAAAGATATAAAACTGTAATTTTTTGTGAAGAATCAACAACAAGTGGGACACAATCATGAAGTGGAATGAAATTTATTGGATATTTCAAACTTTTTTAACAAATAAAAAACTGAATAATTGGGCGTGCAAAATTATTCAGCCCCTTTACTTTCAGTGCAGCAAACTCTCTCCAGAAGTTCAGTGAGGATCTCTGAATGATCCAATGTTGACCTAAATGACTAATGATGATAAATAGAATCCACCTGTGTGTAATCAAGTCTCCGTATAAATGCACCTGCACTGTGATAGTCTCAGAGGTCCGTTTAAAGTGCAGAGAGCATCATGAAGAACAAGGAACACACCAGGCAGGTCTGAGATACTGTTGTGGAGAAGTTTAAAGCCGGATTTGGATACAAAAAGATTTCCCAAGCTTTAAACATCCCAAGGAGCACTGTGCAAGCGATAATATTGAAATGGAAGGAGTATCAGACCACTGCAAATCTACCAAGACCTGGCCGTCCCTCTAAACTTTCAGCTCATACAAGGAGAAGACTGATCAGAGATGCAGCCAAGAGGCCCATGATCACTCTGGATGAACTGCAGAGATCTACAGCTGAGGTGGGAGACTCTGTCCATAGGACAACAATCAGTCGTATACTGCACAAATCTGGCCTTTATGGAAGAGTGGCAAGAAGAAAGCCATTTCTTAAAGATATCCATAAAAAGTGTCGTTTAAAGTTTGCCACAAGCCACCTGGGAGACACACCAAACATGTGGAAGAAGGTGCTCTGGTCAGATGAAACCAAAATCGAACTTTTTGGCAACAATGCAAAACGTTATGTTTGGCGTAAAAGCAACACAGCTCATCACCCTGAACACACCATCCCCATTGTCAAACATGGTGGTGGCAGCATCCTGGTTTGGGCCTGCTTTTCTTCAGCAGGGACAGGGAAGATGGTTAAAATTGATGGGAAGATGGATGGAGCCAAATACAGGACCATTCTGGAAGGAAACCTGATGGAGTCTGCAAAAGATCTGAGACTGGGACGGAGATTTGTCTTCCAACAAGACAATGATCCAAAACATAAAGCAAAATCTACAATGGAATGGTTCCCAAATAAACATATCCAGGTGTTAGAATGGCCAAGTCAAAGTCCAGACCTGAATCCACTCGAGAATCTGTGGAAAGAACTGAAAACTGCTGTTCACAAATGCTCTCCATCCAACCTCACTGAGCTCGAGCTGTTTTGCAAGGAGGCATGGGCAAAAATTTCAGTCTCTCGATGTGCAAAACTGATAGAGACATACCCCAAGTGACTTACAGCTGTAATCGCAGCAAAAGGTGGCGCTACCAAGTATTAACTTAAGGGGGCTGAATAATTTTGCACGCCCAATTTTTCAGTTTTTTATTTGTTAAAAAAGTTTGAAATATCCAATAAATTTTGTTCCACTTCATGATTGTGTCCCACTTGTTGTTGATTCTTCACAAAAAATTACAGTTTTATATCTTTATGTTTGAAGCCTGAAATGTGGCAAAAGGTCACAAAGTTCAAGGGGGCCGAATACTTTCGCAAGGCACTGTATAGTCCCCCCGAACCCCAAACTGACCAGGAGATCATTAGGCAATGAGTTCATAGTTATGTTCGAGTTGATCATTGTTGATTCTTGATTACATGTCATTCAAACACTGTAGGTCAAGGCATGTTGATTTATATAGCACATTTTCCTGCACAAAGGCAAATCAAAGTCTACACAGATAGATAAAACATTTAAAATGCATACAAAATGCACAAAGAAATAAAACATTAAAATGCATGTATAGATAAATTAAAATCAACAATTACATGACAGTACAAGTAGTAACTTGTTTCAGGAATTAGAAACACCAGTCTCTGTACAGTCAGCTAAACAGTTGCAAAAACATTTAGGACAGCTGTGGCAAACTTTAGTTTACCACTAGCTGTCCAGTCCCTCCACACCTGAGACTCCTACCAGGCTTGTACTTGACAAACGTATCTGATATATTTGGGTCCAAACCATTGAGAGACATGTAGACAATAAGTAAGGCCTTAAATTGAATTGTGTATTTAACTGGACGCCAGTGCAAAGATCTAAGCACTGGAGTAATGTGTTCTCTCTTCTTAGTGTTTGTCAGTATTCTGGCAGCAGCATTTTGACCGAGTTGCAACTGTCTGATGGTCTTGTGTCTGATGATGATGATGATGTCAGATGTCTGATGGGCAGGTCAATAAGTAGTGCATTACGGTAGTCTATCCTACTAGAAACTAAAGTATTAATGAGCTTTTCTCAAGCCTGCATAGACAGAACATTTCTCATTTTAGCTGTTTTTAAGATGCCAAAATGATGATTTTGTTACAGCTTTGATGTGGACATTAAAACTTAGATCCTCATCAATGATTACACCAAGATTTCTGACACAGGTGTTAGTTTTTAGTGTCTTGCACTTTAGGTAGTCATTGACCATTAGCCTTCTTTCTTTTTTTGAATAAATTATTATTTCTGTTTTGTCTTTGTTTAGTTGAAGGAAATTTTGCTGCATCTAGCTTTTTTGATACAGAGGCATAATACGTCTATAGACCCACGGTCATTTGTTGCACTTGTGCAAGCTGGTTACATTGACATAATTAGCATTAGTGAACTTAAGCCAGGACTGTTATTTAAAAGCTAATTTAAAATGTAGCATTACCCATTAACCATTATGGTGGTTAATGGTAGGATAGTGTCTCTGGATAATTAGAAAGCATTTGGTGTCTTGGTTTCTTATGAAATGAATACAAAAATAAGAATATAAATGTGACTGAATCATCTTACTGTATCCCAAAAATGAGTCCAAAGTTCCTCACAGTAGGACTGGAGGCCAAAGCTCTACAGTATGTCATCTAGACTAACTATATGGTTAGACAGCAGATGTCAAGGCTTTCAGGCCCAAGTACAATAACTTCAGTTTTGTTGGACTTTAGAAATAAGAAATTGTCATTTGTCCAGGCCTTTGTGTCTTTAAGACATTTGAAGTTTGACCAACTGATTTGTTTCATCAGGGTTTCTACATAGATTGATATAACTGATTATCATTTGTGTAGCAATCATCTGTGAATTTAGGAGCTTCACACAGTGGTCCCCTTGAGTACAGTCATGCAGAGGGAGAGAGGGAGAACAGCAGCAGGGACAGCACACATCCATGGGTGGGGACACCTGTGCTGGCTGAGTGCTGGACATGAGTTTCCACAGCCTCATCTGCTGCTTCCTGTCTTAGAAAGTTGGTAAACCACTGAGAGGTGGGGGCAGGAACAGTGAGCTGGATGAGTTTGGAGTGGAGGATGTTGGGGTATGATGGTGTTGAACACCGAGCTGAAGTCCACGAAGAGCACATATGTATAGGCCCTTGGGGAGTCAGGGTGTTGTAAAATGGTAATGCAGTGCCATGATGACTGCATCATCCACCGACCTGTTTGCCCGGTAGGTGAACTGCAGGGGGTCTACAGTGTCCTTCAGGTGGGCCAACACCAATCTCTGTTAGGTCACGCACACACACGGGGAGGTGAGTGAGCGGAAAAGAATGGACCCAGAGGACTGACTTCTGTACAAGCAGATTTAATTGGTGCTGTACAAATATATACAAGCGTAGTGAAAAAAACAACAGGACAAGAATACGGAGGATAATGTCTTTGAAAGCCAGGTGTTGATCAGCACAGAGTCAGTTTCTAGCAGGTTACAGTGAAGATAGGCCGAGCTGCAAAATAGAAAAAAAAAGGTCACTCACTGGCTGTTCGGTGGAGGTGGAAACAAGCTGAGGAGACAGAGTAGTGTTTGTGAGTTGAGGCAGCTTGAGGGACTGTGCATCAACTTGACAGGTGGAGACTGGAAGGGCGACAAGGCGTATGGTCCGGGGCAGGTAGTCCGTAGTTGCGGTGATGAGGAGGAGCAGGAGAGGTGTAACAAGGAACACAGGTAACAATCCAGAAAGCAAAACAACTAGAGATACGAAAAAGACAAAGAAGAGCTACACTAAGTGGCGTGGGTTGTCGGCAAGAAAAGCAACAACGAACTGGCAAGGGACAGGTATGTGAGCTGGGCCTAAGTATGGTGAAGGGCTAAATGAATGCAGCTGGTGTTGATTAAGGAATGTGTAGCAGGTGTGCAATGTAGCACCGAAAAACAAAGAGAGGGAGGTGAGAGAGGCAGGTGCAGCCGGGCAAACCTAACAATCTCTCAAAGGACTTCATAACTACAGATGTCAGGGCGACAGGTCTGTAGTCGTTCAGTCCACTGATGGGGAGTTTCTTGGGGACTGGGATGATGGTGGAGCGTTTGAAGCAGGAGGGGACTTCACGCAGCCCCAGTGACCTGTTGAAGATGAGTGTGAAGATGGGGGCCAGCTGATCAGCACAGGCTTTCAGGCAGGAGGGGTCACACTGTCTGGGCCTGATGCCTTTCTTTTGTTTTTTAATTAGGCCACATCCTTTTCATAGATCTTCAGGGGTGGGGGGCTGGGAGTAAGGGAGGTCTTCATGGGGTAGCAGCTGCTGGATCTGAGTTGAGGTGGGTGAGAGGTGTGGAGTTCTGTTTCTCAAATCTATAGTAAAACACATTCAGGTCGTCTGCCAGTTGGTGGATGGTTTCCTGTAGCTAGCGATGTTTTTCAGGCTTCCCCACACAGATGGGGGGGTCACTGGCTGAAACCTGGTTTTTCAACTTTTCAGAGTAGCTTCTCTTTGCTGCTCTGATTTTCTTTGTCAACAGCCCCTTGCACACTGCCTTTTCGAGGCGGGACTGATGCACCTTTATTCGTCTTATTTTCAAAGCCAGAATGGCAGGCCATTCCATCTCTTGTCCGCCTTGGGAGGTAGTACCAAGTGCTACATTTTTATGATGTAATATGTACGCGGCACTATCACCCGCATCTCAAGTCTGCACGCCTCTCTGCCCCGAACTGTTCTTGGCTTCTCTCTAACTTACAGGTCAAGGCTTCCTGGTGTCATTAACTCACTGGCATGCGGCTAAACATGTCATCACTGGTCACACTGGGCAGGGGTCCAGAGAAAACTATGGAGCCTAACAGTGTTTTAGCAAAGTTACACAAAGACTCAACATTAACTTTAGTGACCTCCAACTGGTGTGCTGTGCTCTAGTTCTCACCGAGACTTGGCTTTCTGACAGAGTTCCAGACTCAGCGATTCAGCTACAAACACACACTACATCGAAGCGATCGCACTGCCTTCAGGGAAGGTAAAGGGAGGTGGTGTGTGTGTGTTTATTAATAACTCATGGTGTGGAGATGTACGGACTGTTTATAAGCACTGTTCGCCAG